CAGGGATCCAATATGGGGGTTCTGCCAGTTACTAAGTATGTCTATTCCAATGATGGATTCTGGAACCACAGGATGGGTCCTGGGCCTGCTGGACCCACAGTGAGGTGTACCTGAGCTAAAACTCCATTGATAACTTGACCTCCATAAGCCCCCACTCTGGCTGGTGGGCCTTCGAAACACTTTGGGTGTCCTAGAACTAGTGTCAGTTCTGAGCCAGTGTCCAGTAATCCCCGAAAAGTTTGATTATTTCCTTTCCCCCAGTGAGCAGTCACTCTCGTGAAAGGCCACAGGTCCTTATTAGCAATCTGTTCACCATGGGTGACCTTGCTGATGCTTGAAATACTGGCGACCTAGCTTCCAGCATCATGAAACACGCACGACGCCACACAGTACCATAAATTGGCAGATGAGAATTACTATATCGTATTTTATGTGACTCAAACAAAATTCCATATATTTTAGTATCTCTAAATTTTATATAAAATATCGAAACAGCTTGTGTATTTAGAAAGAGATTAGCTGACAAATTTTTATGCTTAATCCCAGGATTAAGCCTTTAATATTTCATTTTAAAATCACTGCCATGAAGTTGATTCCTACTCGTAGTCACCCTGTAGGACAGAGTAGAGCTAGTAGGTACTATGCGTCTCCTCATTTTCATCTGGTATAAAGTATCAGCCTTTCCATTGCATCCTGAGTAATTAGTGATTTTCTTTTTGCTCCCTGTCATTGATCTAAGAGTTAAGTGTTTTTCTTTATTCTGGTTTACTGCTAATTTTTGTGGATTATAACCACAAAATAGGGCCTATGAAATATGTGTGTTTTGTTTTTTTGGTTTTTGGTTTACCAGATAATATATTCATTTTAAGTAATATGTATGTTTTAAAAACTTGTGAAGGTTTTCAAGTGGTTCTTTCTCATTAAGAAAATCAATTCTTCTTACAGAACAGTTGGACTAGCTGTGAAGAGCCCAGATAAACTACGTAAGGCGATCTATTTCAGAAAGAAAGTTCATCGTCCTCTCCCCAGTCCTTGTTACAGAAAGAAGCAGGCCCCTAGAAGTGGGGGCTGTGTCATGGCAAATAAAGAAAATGAACTGGCTTGTGCAGGCCACCTACCTGACAAATTACGCCATGATAGTCGAACATATTTGATTAACTCCAGTGATTCTGGGGCTTCACAGACAGAAGGCCCATCATCAAAATATAGTGGCTTTTTTTCTGAGGTAAGTCATTTTTCTAAGTGTAGCTTCTTATTAAAGCTGATATTTATTTAGTTTCTTTGCCATGTTCCACCAGCAGGCTAGTTTTCCATCCATTAAGTACAGACTTATTTCGCTATTGTTACTACCTAGACAGCTTTCCAGATTAGCCAGTGTGAATGTATAATTTATTTCATTTCCCTCAATGAATGATATCTGAGATGGAATGACGTGGTTGGCAAATTAGCATCAATATCCAGATTGGCAAATTGACCAGAAAAGATTTAAAAGAAGGAAAATGTTGGCCTAAAAAGTGAACCATTTCTTGCCATCACAGAAGCCACATGTTGTTCGGGCCCATTTTATTTAACTCTCAAACCTAACTGCTTACTAACTTGGCAGAGAAACTGAACCAGGTTTTCTCTCCACGCACAGAGCAAATGGGACATTCGCACAGGCATGAAGGAATTTTCTTTCTTTCTTTCTTTTTTAATTTATTCATTCATTTATTTGTTTGTTT